GGGACATCATGAACCCATGGGCAGGCTCGGTGCCACCTTAAAGCAGCTGCTTCACTTGGCTCCTTCTCCAATAGTGAAGAACTTGAAATCATTTATCTACATGTGGTAGTTCCAGGCATCACAAGCCTTATAGTATTTAAGCAAAAATCAATTGTGTTTAAGTGATAATGGTTAAATCCAGGATAGCTCAAACAATTCAGCATTAAAACAGACCATCACCTGCCCATCTCAACAAGCACTACCCCAGTTAGTCCAAAGTGGTCTGAAAACCCTGTGAGGAGAATCTTACGTTTGATCCCATCTTCCTGAGCATGAGCAGCACTCTCACTTTCTGCTGGATGTACATCTCCTCCGGACTCTTCCCGGGGACGCCCTCTCGGTTCATTCCCCTCCTGCCAGCTCCTGGATTTCCTGCAGATACAAAATCAGAAAACTAGAATAGGCAACGGGGTCTAATAGGAAATAGAGGAAAAGTTTCATTTCCAAAATACCTGTTTTTGGAATATCCTGGGAGAGCAAGGAATCACATCCTTCCCCAGAGAAACCTTTAAAAATGTCAGCAACTAAACTGGGACTCATACATCCAACTCAAACATTCACAGAGGCTCACGCTCACATCCCCACAGCTCATTATCTGTGGTTATGTTACTGCTTGAGTAGAAAAGGAATTGTAAGAACTAGATGAAAGAACCACCCTGACAGAGCAGTCCGTGGTTTGGGGTTTTTTCCATAAATAAGCACAAGCAGAATGAAAACAGGATGCAGAATGCACAGCCATCAAGCCCACAATGGCTAAACAAAAGCTGTGTGAAATCTAAACTCTTAAGTCTTCCTCCTCTTTTTCTTTTTTCCTTTATATATCATAGAAAAAGGCCACTGCGTTACTGTAAAAATTACTAACATTTATTTGGAAATGGTTTTGGAGAGAAAGCAGAACTAAGAGGAGCAGGGAAAGAGTATAATTTAAAAGCTGAGTTTTTGCTTCTTATTTTAATAAAAACAATTATGTTCTCGAATAAACAGACTGTGCTATCCAAATTCTATAGCACAAAGCATGATTATTATATGAGTATCTGGTAATTATTCAAGTTCCACAACAGGGTGTTTACTATGACAAAAAAACCCCAACTTTTCACTCCCAGAACTGGGTCTGGTCCTACTCCAGCCTGTAAATGTGATTTCCTGACCCCCATAATGAAGGGAACACACGACACAAGGCTTGCATAGGGAAGGCTGATCCCAGCAGGTTCAAACAGTTTTCACAGTAATGTTCTCCTGCAGTCATTACCAACCTCTCCTCTCACTTCATTTCCATTATTACTTTTAAGGGAAAGTAATCTGGGCGTGGAAACCGTTTAAAATTACACAGAGGCCCTCCTGAGTGAGTCAGAAGTAATGCAAACTTGAGCAGCAGCTGCTGGGACAGGCTTTGCCACCCACACCACTGAGCAGGGAGATAAGAGCAGGAACAAGTGAGAAAGATCCATCAGCAGCCCTCCCTGAACACGTTTCAGTGGGAAGAGCTGCATGAGCTGATTTGCTGTAGATGGCTCTGCCTGGAACCTGCAGCCTGTACATGTGCAAGGTGGTGGCTGTTGGGGCTTTTCATACAGCCAGCAAACTGCTCTCTGAAGGGGGAATGAAACAAACCCATCATTTTGCCTACTGTCAACTCAAGTAAGCAAATTGGATTATGCTACTGGGTTTGTACTCCACAGTGCAATTTACTGAGTGCTAACAAGTGATGCCAACAGTAAGGCAATGAACAAAATAAGATAGTGGGCAAGAGACATTAAGTTATACACATCCAGAGACTGATAAAACAATAAACATTGATCAAGATATCCAGCCAGTCTGAAAGTTTGGGACTGGTTCCTAATATTGTAAATACTTTTCAAAAAACATTGTACTTGAAAAGAGAAGCTGCTGTACTAGTAACCAATCAACCTAGGAAAGAAAAATCACAAGAAAAGCTGAACTGCAGGAAGACATCTATTGTTTAAAAATGAAACAGAATGGATGGGATATCAGTAGGTGGCACCATCCACAAGCACCAAGAAAATGCCACAGCTGCCCCCATGCAAACGAGGAGGACCCCACTTCAGCACTGCTCTGCACATCAGGAATTACCAGACCTGGTTTGGTCACTATTCATTGTTTTCCACCATAAATATCTTCCAGTTGTTTATTAATTTTCCAGCTTTAAAAAGCAGTGATGGGAATTCCTATCCAAGCCTGGCTCTTCTGAAATAACCTTCAGCCAAGATGGGTTTGTCACAAAGCCACCTATTTAACAGGAAGGATAAAATCCTAAAGGCTGCCCATTCAGTGAATGCTTCACACAATTAGGAAGCAGCATGGGGGGAAAAAGCACCCGATATGGCTCAAAGAATATGCACAGAGAGGCAAACGAAGCTTTCAGAGCACCAGCACTTTGCTCTCCCCACACCACACAACCACCCTGCCAGCACAGCTCTCCCTACTCAATGACATTGAAGTGGAAAGACAAAGGTCTTAAAACAGCACTCAGACCCCAGCATGAGAAATGGGAACATATCTCTGTTTTCTTGTTACATAAAGCTTTCAGAAGACACAGTTTAGGATGACAACATTACCCAGCATATGCTACATGAGAAAATTTCCAAACCCACATAGAAAGCTGGTCCATGCCCAGATGACAGCATGATCCACATTTGCAAATGAAGGACTGAAAAATCTTTTCAAAACACTTATCAGCTTAGTTCTCTCCAGAAAGCTGCATTAATATGCTGCACATTATGAAATGCTCCTTAAGAAACATTTCCCTGCCCCCACAAATCTCTCTGGCCCATGGATGAGTGGCCACTGCCCCATCCCCAACCAACAAAACACATACCTGCTTCTAAAAACCACAGGAGATCAGCTAATCCACGTGGGCTGTCCTGACCAGTGACTGGAGCTGGGAAAAATGTACAAGGGAACTGCCCTGTGAAAACAAACGAGCAAAGAGTTACAGAACACACTCAGCTGAAGCCCAGAAAGATCCTTCATTCAATACACCTTCACTCCCAGCCTGCTTTAGATTCAAAATTCAAAAAACTGCACCATTGTCTGGAGCTGTAAACATAACCTTTTTATGTGTAAAGTTCTTTACAATCAAGCCATTCTTCAGCTGCAAGATTTCCACCCCGGCCATGCCAATGGCATACCCAATCACTTGAGAATGAATTGCATTCAAGCTTTGCATTCTTTAGGCAGCTTTCAGCACAAAACCCAGCTGATAGATGCTGGCCTCAGCAGAGAGGCAATGGGATCTCAGCTGAATCTCTGGGAATCGTGTGCCTGGCACTGCAGGAAGAGAGGCCAAAGGCTGGTGAAGCCACTGAGAATGCACCTTCGTTATCAGATCTGGAGCTGGTCTCTCCAGGTGAGGGCGAGGCAGGTGTGCAGAGCCAACAGGGAACTCTGGGCTGCCCGTGCTCACCTCTGGCAGCAGAATGTGGATCCCCTCCCCAGTGCCACTCTTCCATTCCTTTCTCACAAAGAAGACTGACCCCTGCATTTCAAAAGCTGTGGTGCCAGTCAGGAATGACTGAATTCTTCACTAAACTCTGTTAAAAGAATAAATGCTTCAAGCCTGTCCTGCTGCATCCAACACACTGCAAATGGACATAATTGGGTCACCTAATTCTCCCTTGTTTGCCAGGCACAGGCAACGAAATTTAGTTCTCATTACTTTTAAGATGATTCACATGACAGAATAATAAACAACAAAGATCTATATATTAGAGCCAACCCTGCCGGCCCAGCTTTGCCAAGGAATAACGTGAGTGGGAGAACACCCCTGCCCTTGCCCAGTGTCCGGTTTTCGGCTGTTTGAAGGGCCTGGAAAGGCCCGGAGTGGCCTTGGGGCAGCCCACGTATCAAAGGACGAGAAGAGGCTTCAGTTCTTCCTTCGGTCTCTGTGTTTATTAATTGTTTATCTAAAAGATTTTCTCTCGGCCCGACAGAGCTCTGCTCAGCAGCCAGCCATGAGCACACTCCCCTGCCCTCTGGACAGTCACCTATCTTTATACCCATTGTTACGTGTACAATATTTATCATTTTTCCCCAATACCTTTCACTCTTATTGCCCGGTGCACTTTTAGTAATGACCAATCCCAAAGTGCCACCATCACCACAGAAGATGGAGGAGAAGAAGAAGAAGAAGAAGGACAGGACAGGCCCCAATTCCTCCATCTTACTTCTCTAAACCCCCCTGTACAGAAATCCTAAACCCTGTGTTTCACTGTCTAATTAACCAATCCCTTCACCATTCACCCCGGTGAAATCCTCCTATCCTCATACAGGTGTCGTCTCCTGTGTAGGATCAAAGTCCAGCCACCAGACACTTCTGGAACATTCCAGGACTCCCGAGCCCCCCAAGGGTGCTCTCAGTGACACCTCAGTCCTGAGGGGCTGAGATCCCACAGCCCAGCAGGACAGAAATGTGTCCTGCAGGCCTGCACTTCCCTCTCCTCTGCCTGCAGAGGGCTGGCTGAGGATCCCAGGCATCCCCCCAGCTCAGCCAGGCCCTCCATGGGGATGGGCAGAGCCAGGAACGCCTGCCATGCCCATCTGTGTCCCTGCAAAGCCACCTGGGCTGGGCACAGGCTGGGCACCCCTGGCACACCAAGCACGGGCAGCGCCTGAAGCTGCAGCTCTGGCAGGGCAGGGAGTCAGAGAGCAGAGAAAGCAGACAGGGGTTTGCAATGGGCAGGTGGAGGAGGAACTTTACACCTAAAAACACCCGGGCTGCTTTGCAAGGATGTTACCCAAGTAATGTAATAGCTAAGTACTGCCAATTTTCCCACTTCCAATTTCCTCACCTCTCCTCGTTGCTCCTTGTTCTGAAAACTCTCTAATGAAAATAAAATGGTTTCTTCCCAAAATGAATTAAAAGACCACAGTGGCTTTCTCTTCAATCACTGACCCCAGACACAACAGTACATAATGAAAAAACACTGTACTGTAAAAATATGTAACAGTACATAATGTAAAAATACTGTAAGTTAGTCTTCCCTTTTATTCTTCTTTCCTAGCTAGGTTTAGAACATCAGCTATTGGGGTTTCACTTAAAAAAAAAACGCAGACAGGAGAAATCTGTACTCAGTCTCAGTTTAACTTGTCTGTTTTACCAACAGATGGAAACAGCTCCTCAGGAAACTCAAGCCCCACCAGCAAGAGCTGTTTTGACTGAACGCCCTCAGAAGAAGATTCCAACACACAGCAACTGAAAATTACAGATTTGTAACTGCATTTCCTTCACTTCCACCTACACTGGTAAGAATTCCAAACCTGGAAGGGACTTTCTGCTGGACAATGTCACAGGTAAGTTCATAATTAAGAACTCCCAAATTCTTCTGACTCCCCTCCTGTCACCTTTTTAAATAAACAAACAAAAATTTCACATCTCAACAGAAAAAGAGACATGCTAAAAAAAAAAAATGCATCTTTATAAATTCTGCATAAAGGAAGTTACTTAAACATCCCATTCAGTTTTAAATCCATGCTTATTTAATGCAATGAGAAAGCAGCATGAGCTGTAGTCCTCTGTAATGCTGAAATTCCTAATGACCGCATTTTACTGGCATGGGAAAACACAAAGTGCAACTGAGGAATCTGCACAGCCTAAATTAAGGGGGACAAAAATAAAAAGGCAGTAAGCTGTTGGAAAATGTAGTATTTTACATATTCAGTCTTAATAATTTAGGGTACTTAGAGCAGCCATCTGGCAAGTTCTTTAAAGCCTAAGTCACAGCTGAGTACCTCTTTAATATCTTGCAGCATTTCCAGTTATAGCCAAAAGAAACCCAACAGGAGTTAGTTCAGCTACAATTTATTTTTTTGTTGAATCTGACTGGTTCTGTTGAAGGCAGTGAAAACCCTCAATTAATGGGAAAGGATTATAAAGCTCAGCTAAGGAGTTATGGTGAATAAACCCGAGCCCTGCAGGTTCCCTTTGCTGCACACAAGTGGAGTTGAGAGCAGCAGGAAGGGTCCCTTTGACTCTCTGATATCATTATCAAGGTTAAGCCATCCCCTCCACAGTGCCACCACCAAGCACTTCAGTGCTTCAGCATGGTCACACTGGGAAGCTTGGAAGTGCAAGGGGATCCTGCCCCTCATTTAAGCCTTGTTAATTTTCAAATGACATTTTTCAGAGAACAGTGAAGAGCCCAAAAAACCTTCCAAGCTGGAGCCTGAAACCTGAAGTCAGGAACCAGAGTCTGCAAAAACCCTGCTACAAATTTTCCTCTAATTCACTCTGACTCGTGACCTTCAGTCACAGGCAGCTGGAGACTGGATTAATTCCCATCTCCAGAGGGATACAATGAAGAATTCATAACAGCTACCTATTTATAGGTGAACAGTATGAACTGAAATATTTAATATGGGGTTTTTTTTGTCTTCCTTTCTATGTTCAGTGCTACCTTTTAGCTGACTTCAGAATCTGAACCCAGTGTCAGATTTAGGTCAATTTACTGCTGGAACTCCCAGACGTGGTAGGTTCACATCTCTTAAATGTTAGATTTAAATTTTTAACGAGACACTACAGTCCTCCTTCTTGAAGGAGCACAGGAAACAGCCCCAAACACGGCCATTTATTCATGAAACATTTATGAACACAAGCAGGGGGTTTTCTCCCCAGTGCTGGAACACCTCTCAGAGCTTCAAAATGGGCTTCAAAAGTTCCAGTGAAGTGCATTCCATAGAGCTTCCCAATATACCAAAACAGCTCTTACATCAATGCTCAAGCTGACTTAAAAAATAAATTTAAAAAATCCTACTATCATAATCACCACTTTAATGAAATTAAATTTGCCTCCTGACCTTCAGGCACACACAAAGCAGACAATTTCCCCCCTTGTCTCAAGAACAAGACACTCTCACATCTCACACAGTTAAAAGAGGCAGCACAGGGTTTTAGGTAGTTCACGTCAGTCAACTTGAAGCCTCTGAAATTAAACATAGTAACAGCAACAAAACCTGAAAGAAAGCCTTTCATTTCACAAAGGTATTCACACTTCAAAGATGAATGTGTCAAAAATTCTTACAAAAGTGACAGCACTTTATAAAGAGCAGTTTATACACAAATTGCACCCCAGTCCAAGAGACAATTCCAATACTTTACTCACGATGGTCCCCAACAGCTGCAAGGACAGTGCTGCTCCTGTCCCAACCATGGGCTCTTCTCCTATTTAAAACAAAGCTGCAAATCTTCTAGGCAGGAAATTAGGCACTAATGATAGATAGCCAATGACTTAATTACCAGGTATCCCACTGAAGAATTACTGATAAAAAGTGTTCAGCATCCATCATTAAAATAGAACATTAGAGCCAAGATTTGTATGGATTTATCTGTAAATATTTTATTTCAGAAACAGAAAATTTCTGGAGAAGATTTCAGTGCCATTTCTCCCAACTTCTCCCAATTTCTCCCATCCCACACACAGTGCTGGGTGCATTTAAGCTGAAATGGCAGAGAGCACACCTGGTGGCACAGAAAGGCTCTCTCTGTGCGTACATATATTTACATATTTTTATATTTGTATTTATAGGCATTTCTCTGGTACTCATCTACACAGGATCTACAGACAGCCAGGTATTAGTGAGAGCTCCCAGTGTGCTGCCCTGTAATTTTTACTGACATCTGAACATCATTATTGCCAGGTCACAGCCATTTCACACTGCAAATGCCTATAAATCTGTTATTGTAGAAAGATTATGGCCAACAAGATTTTTTAAAAGCAATTAAAACGTGAGCTGTTATTAGGTTGGTGACTAGTTAGCATTTTAGTATTTTGCAATAGTGTATCAGAGTACATTGTTAGGACCAGAGACTCTCAGATTAATAGTTCTTTACTACCAAAATTGTGTAACCATTGGACAGCAAAATTAAACAGTGTTCTGGCCTCCTACATCAATAAAATCTGCTGTAAAATG